GAAACAAGAAGATTTAGAAAGAATCATGTCTTCAAAATGGTGATGTGATCGAAATTAAGAGGCACACAAAGAGGTTGTTGTGTTACTGAGAACAATCGCAATCGATAGTACCACTCCATCACACATTTCTCAACAATGTCAGCATTTAATGTGCAATGTAAAAACAAAGCAAAAACAAATTGCTGGCAGATGGTGGATGCTTTTTATCCCATATTGGATCAGAATTTCGTATTTTTACCGGAAGCATGCAAAAAAAAAGAAAACGGAAGTCGACTCTGCTTAGCATATGCATATTTTCTATGGCGACGAAGCATTAGCAACATTATGGTTCACATGCATTGTTGCCTAGTTTGATTCAAGGAAGCGTTTGTCACTGCTGATTTTGAAAAGTTCTATTATTTTGGACACTACAAAATCGTCGCAAAAAGCATTCTCCAATATGTTTGCATGTAGCAATTTATCTTGCACGCATCGTTTTCGTTCATTCCTGTTGTTGTGTGTTGAAGTTAATTTTCTACAAAAACATTCGAAGTTTTTGTTTGCGACAAAGAACAGTCTCATACAACTCGATAATAACGAACTTTCAGGACGTTATCGAGAAGATACCAATGAGGGCTCGATCACAGAGTTGGTTGATAAGAACTCGACATCTACTCGACAGTGAGAATGTAAATATAGTATTCGAGAGTATTCATTAACGACTAGAATTTATGCGGATAATCATGAGAGGACGGACATTCATTGAATGGATCTTAAAGTGAACTAGATGGAACTCTATGATTAGATGCCTATAGCCGTAGCAGTGTAGTGCATATGACGCGAGAACATTGTAAGATCGTGAGAAAATGGTTTAGAGAATATTTTCGAAGAATGAATGCGTTATCACATAGCGCAATTCATTGCTTGCTTTCGCTAGCAGTATTGTGCAAAATTATCAAATTCGAGGTAGTCAAGCGATGTATTTTAATGTACAGTTTGGAACAATGAAGTGCATTCACAATAAGCGTTGATTCCGATTCACAAATTCATTTGGTTATTTCTCTAAGCCTTACTCATTTTTTCTTTGAATCATGCCTCAAGCAATTACGTGCATAATACGTTCTAGGAAAATTGCTCTGACCACGTTCGCAATTGAATTGATAATGAATTCAACAAAAAAAGATGCAATCCATTTCAATCCATTTCAATGCAATCTAAAATATGAGAAAATTTACTTCTTAACACATACTGAGTACCAACTCAATTTGTTCGAATGAATTTACGATTATTCCTCAGAGAAAGGATGAAAAAAAGTATGGAATAGAATGANATATGTAGGTTTGATTTAGACTTCACAATTTGGGTCTTCGCAAAATTCACGTGATGATATTTTGATACTTGAAACACGCTTGAGAGAATACTTGAGGTCGCAGACGGCTCTCTGAATGAATTTTGCTATGAATTAATTCTGCAATGCATTGCACTTTGTGAGAACATCGAAACACGATTCGTTTAAGCAATTAATTTTGAAACGTTTTTTGAAATGTGAAAATCAACTTTCAGCCTAAAACACCACATATCTTGTCAGTTGCCCTTTACGTGCTTTCGATTATTTTATTGTTCATCACGTTTCCATTTTGCCTGCCATTCTGCCTGAAAGTTGCCAGGTAACTGTTTTGTCGTTCGTCTTTTATTTGTTTATCTATTTCGATTCAGTCTTCAATTTTTCACTTCTGCGGAACCAACAAATGACAATGAATTGTTCAATTCGTTCCTTCCCATTGCGCCTTTAAACTCGTTGTTTCTCACGAAATCTATGAGAACGTTCCCAATTCATCGGTATCATCCAGTACTATCAGTTGCTTAGCAAATAAAGATTGCAATGCGATGTGTGTAAAAGCGATTGATTATGTAAGCGTAAAGAACATTGCTTTCACTCTAAACATATCGATGACAAACAATCTGTAATTCGAGAAACAGCTGACGTTTGCGGTCATGCACTCGAAACTTTTGTTCACGAATAATTCTTCGGCGTTTCTGAATGGTGCAATTGCGTCTCAGATTTTGTGGACCATTGCCGTAGAGCTACAAACTGTTTTATGCTGTTACGTATTTGGAAAGAAAATGCTCAATGAAAAGGACTAATAAGCAATGAGCAAATAACCGGCAGCAATGTCCATTCAGTACGCGAAGTAATTTCTAAACGATCCATCATGTTCACTGTGTCCCGTGAAATGATGTATACTAACAATAAGACTAGAGATGTTTACCTGTTAACGAAGCAGTAGCGTTTTAAAATGTTCATTTTTACAAGAGATGAATAGTTTAGTGGTAAATGGTTTTTTTTTTGATCAGATAATAATAGAATGTGAGTTCGGTGTTGATTAATGTTGAGTTGTTTTTATCGGAGTTGTTGATTGATTTTGCAGGGAGTATGAACGGGCCGTTGTGTTACGGTTGGGAAGACTTATCGAAGGTGGTACAAAGGGACCTGGTCTTTTCTTTATTATGCCATGCATCGACACATTTCGCATCGTAGGTTTTCTTGTGCAAATCATGCTAGCTTCAAAAAGCAGCGATTTGATCTGATTGTGAGTGAAATCATTGAGATGGAGGCTTTTGAGTGGAAATTTTGGTTGCTGCTATTATACTGACAATGGTGCACCACTAAGTTACACTTTGAGTAGTGTGCGGCGCGGCGTCAGTTCTTGTGCTCATAGGGGTTCGAACCAGATGAAGCACTAACAGTCAACAATTTATGTTCATATTCCCTCCGAAAGTCGTCTGAAATTGATACTTTAAGGAATTAGCAGTAGGAGCAGTTTCGAGAATCGTTTAAATGAAAATATTTCATTTGAAATTTGGTAAGTGATTGATCGCGTCATTGAATGATGGATGGATGTTTCCGAGTAGATTTGATTTCAGTCAGCTGTTAGGTTGTTTTGAATATGATAGGTATTTGCATCAAAGCAATGTTCTGCTAGTGGATTTACATTTAATAGCAATGTTTTGCAAGACAGACTCATTTTTATTGTC